CATATACATGTACATGTACCTCAATTCATCAGGAAACGACTCTGAAAATGTTTTCAAATGTGACGATTGCTGCGTTTTACCGTTAAACTGTTTATAATGTTATAAGACAGTGTATGGCGCGACGTCTTTGTACCCAGAGGGTTGTGTAAATGCATCATAATATTATACATAAATCTGTGGCACCATCTTTCCCTAACCTACTTCTGTTTGTCTGTCTGACCGACGGTCACCGTCATCCGAGCCCAGACACGTGTGACAGCCCACAGCCCAAAGTGACGGTGTGTAAATAAACAGGAAACCTCTCCTCGTATCGCCTTTCTGAACCGTATTCGGGTTGTTTATTCATAATGGAAGGCGGGTATGTGTACGTTCGTCGAGGGCAATTTGGGCTTGTCATTTGAATGGGCTGTATTTGTATAGCTAAATCAGTATAATTGTCTGAGTAAGCTGAAGCCAACGTAGTTCAAATACAAGTAGAGTTTTGCCAGTTGACCATTAATTTGTCTATGGAGTTGTACGATTGATTGTACACGTTTTACGCCCATAAAACACAATTTAGACCATTTAGGAGGCAGGCTGCGACAATCATACCTGTCAAATTCAACTCGGTGAGATACTACATCCATCCCTGAGAAAAAAAAACCAGATCCTCCTGGCAAGTGTCATGATTTCGTGTGACCCCCCCCCCCCCTTACCTCAATAACTCCTACAATCCAGGATGACCTTATTGGCAAATAAAAAGTGTTCTGTACTAGTCTATTGTAAATATTATCTATCATGAACTCTACAGACCCCCAGGTCGCTGTAGCACCAGAGAATTGCCCGAGTTTACAAAGCAGTGTGTCGTCATGAGAGCTGGATGTCTGTTATGTGACGTGTTCTGAGCATGAATGTTTTGTGATGCCGTGGTTTCCTGGCATAATCTGACCAGAAGATCGCTAGCAAGAGTTACTGTAGCCAGTGCACACGTTGTAGATCTGTGTTTACGTCTGTTGGACCCGAGACGCGGGCGCCTGGGGGAGCTGTGTCTCGCAGACGGCAGAATCAGCTCTTCCAGAAACACAAAGCTTTGTTCCCGTGTGCCCACGACACCAACACTTCTTCCTGCCATACAGGACTCGGGAAGTGTCTATCCTCAGCTCGTTATGTGCCAACCATAGACTTGTACTCCTAGACTGTACACTGTCGGGTCACAGCCGTCGCTCTCTATGAAAACTTCGCTGTGAAGTAAGCTGCACCGCTCACCTTGGGCCGCGCCATTACACCTCAATGAAGGACAAAACACCAGTCTTGTTAGAGTAGAGTGTGCATGACACCCCTGTCTCCCACCCCACCCCCCACCCCCAAACCCTCTTTTTGGGGTCTTTTATTTGGCTTAAATTGCGTCAAATGGTGCGCTCTCTCTAGTCAGCCGGAAATACGTTAGTGTGCATGGTCTAGGACATCAAGATACAATTATATGACGCCAACTCACGCCATGACGTCGGTATGGCGTTATCCATTTTGCAAAACACTCTTTTGGATGCGTAGACCCATTCAGTGTATTTTTGGCCGTACCACTCTCTTGTTCTGTATTCTGCTGTCGACTTATTTGATTCCTCGGTAACCGGCTTTTTTTACAGCGTCACCTTTGACCTGGCACATTCAAACCACACTGGACTAGCGTTTCCATAGAAACCGTGCTGGCATAGAAATAGATGAGAGGAGAA